AGGGAGGATAGATAGGTGGGAGCAGCATTATGTAGAGATTTGAAAGCAAGAACCAAAATTTTAAATTGAGCTCTATATTTTATAGGAAGCCAATGTAGGGGCTGACAGAAAGGTGAGGCATGGGAGGTGCGGGAGGACAGGAAGATGAGCCTCGCCGCCGCATTCATTATGGACTGTAACGGCGCAAGTTGGGAGCACGTAACACCACTGAGAAGCAGATTACAGTAGTCAAGGCGAGAAAGGACAGTGGAATGGACCAACACCTTAGTCGCATCTGGCGTTAAGTAGGGGCGTATGCGCGGAATGTTGTTGAGATGGAAATGACAGGATTTGGCAATAGATTGAACATGAGGCAGCGAGCCTGCATGGTGGAGCTGATGGTAGCACCGTTGACTTGGAGGGAGACAGACATTGGAGTAACAACACTTGAGGGAGGAAAGACCAGAATTTAAGTTTTGGTCAAGTTTAGTTTAAGGAAGTGGGCAGCCATCCAGTTAGAAATAGCAGAGAGGCAGTCAGATACACTAGTCAAGAGGGACGGGGAGAGATCAGGAGAGGACAGGTAGATTTGCGTGTCATCTGCATAGAAATGATATTGGAAGCCAAAGGAGCTAATGAGTTTACAAAGGGAGGCAGTATAGATGGAGAACAGTAGGGGACCAAGGACTGAACCTTGGGGACACCAACAGAGAGGAGTTGGGGAGAAGAAGCAGAGCCAGAGAAAGAAACACTGAAAGAGCGCTGGGAGAGGTAGGAGGAGCACCAGGAGAGAGCAATATCTTGTAGACCGATATTGCGGAGGATGAGAAGAAGCTGTTGATGATCAACAGTGTCAAAAGCCGCAGACAGGTCAAGGAGAATTAGGATAGAGTAGTGACCACGAGATTTTGCAGCGAGTAGATCATTGGATACTTTGGTCAGTGCCGTTTCCACAGAGTGCTTAGCGCGGAAACCAGACTGAAGCGGGTCTAGCAGAGAGTTGTACTCGAGGAAGTCTGTCAATCTTGCATACACAATTTTTTCAAGGATCTTGGATGCAAAAGGCAGTAGCGAGATAGGACGATAGTTGGATGGGGAGTTAGGGTCAAGATTGGGCTTCTTTAGAATTGGGGTTACAGTTGCATATTTGAAGGGCGATGGAAATATACCAGAGGAGAGAGAGAGATTGAGAATTTTAGTGAGAGGTGGAGAAAGAGAAGAAGACAGAGTATGGATGAGATGCGAGGGAATTGGATCTAGGGAGCAGGTGGTGGGGCTGGAGGACTGGAGCAGAGCAGAAACCTCTTCCAATGTAGCAGGTGCGAATGAACATAGAACAGCAGAGGGAGTGAAGTTAGGGCAAGTATTGTAAAGGGAAGAAGAAAGATGAGAGATCTCTTCTCTGATTGTAGAGATCTTGTCAGTGAAGTGAGTTGCAAAGTCTGAGGCAGTCAAGTTAGTAGGTGGAGGAGGAACAGCAGGGCGAAGAAGAGAGTTAAATGTATGAAATAGTAATTTGGGTTCGCGGGAGAGTGTGGTTATGAGGGTATTGAAGTAATTAACTTTTGCAGAAGAAAGAGCCAAGCTGTATAAGCTCAGCATAAATTTATAGTGGAGAAAGTCAGATGCACAGTGAGATTTTCTCCAACAGCGTTCAGCAGTTCTGGAGCATTTTTGGAGGTATCGAGTGAGCTTGGTGTGCCAGGTTTGTTGATGGGGGTGCCTGCGGCGTTTAAATGTACAAGGTGCCATGATGTCTAGTTGAGAGGAGAGGGTGGAATTGTAGAAGGAGGTTGCAGAACTAGGACAGGTGAGGTTTGAGATAGGTAAAAGGAGAGATTAGTGGACAAATGCTCTAGGTCAAGACATTGGAGGTTTCTGTGAGAGTGATGTTCAAATGGTGGTGTCAATTGGGTCTTAGGTATGCCAATGTCAAAAGTCAGCAGATGGTGGTCAGATCAGTATCAAGAAATTTGTTAGGAACTATTAAAGACCATATTGAGATAAAGGCGGTGAAATTAACAGAAGAGGAAGAATTGCCTGATATATCCTTTGCGCAATGTTCTCTAACTACAACGATGGATAACTATACAAAATAATTAAAAAACTTGTTTCATTCCTTACCTCTAAGAGTTCCAAGATACTTACTTGTTCCGTTTAAGAAACAATTTATGGTGTTTATTTGGGGAGATAAAACACCAAGAATTTAATTTAATACTCTAGCCAGAACAGCTGAAAAATGTGGAATACATTTCATGGATATAATAGAAATACATGATACTATTATGTTTGCTCACCTTCTTAAATGGGATAATCAGATAGCATCAAACCCAGGATGGAAGATACTGTAAGAAAAAGCTAGTTACAAGACATCATTAATCAATTTAGCCTGGATTAATTCTAAGTACTATAAATGTTTTACCTCTTCAAATATAATTGTGAATGATGTAATAATGGCATTAAAAATATTCAAATTAGGAATTTCTAATAAACTCCTTCAATCAACCTCCATTGAATTTCT